TGAAACTGCAGGTTCAGAAAATTTCCCTCTGGAAAAATCATGTTTCAATACAGGTGTAGAGGCACATTCATTTTTATTTATTCACCCTCCCCCCCCTCCTCCCTCTCTGTGGATGACTTCGTCAACCATTTTGAAAAGAAGGTTGACGACATCCGATCCTCGTTTGTTAAGTCAAATGACACTGCTGGTCCTGCTCACACTGCCCTACCCTATGCTTTGACTTCTTTCTCCCCTCTCTCTCCAGATAAAACCTTGCTACTTGTGACGGCCGGCCGCCCAACAACCTGCCCGCTTGACCCTATCCTCTCTTCTCCAGACCATCTCCGGTGACCTTCTCCCTTACCTCACCTCGCTCATCAACTCATCCTTGACCGCTGGCTATGTCCCATCCGTCTTCAAGAGAGTGAGAGTTGCACCCCTTCTCAAAAAACCAACACTCGATCCCTCTGATGTCAACAACTACAGACCAGTATCCCTTCTTTCTTTTCTCTCCAAAACTCTTGAGCGTGCCGTCTTTAGCCAACTCTCTTGCTATCTCTCTCAGAATGACCTTCTTGATCCAAACCAGTCAGGTTTCAAGACTGGTCATTCAACTGAGACTGCTCTTCTCTGTGTCACGGAGGCTCTCTGCACTGCTAAAGCTAACTCTCTCTCCTCTGCTCTTGTCCTTCTAGACCTGTCTGCTGCCTTTGATACTGTGAACCATCAGATCCTCCTCTCCACCCTCTCCGAGCTGGGCATCTCCGGCGCGGCTCACTCTTGGATTGCGTCCTACCTGACCGGTCGCTCCTACCAAGTGGCGTGGCGAGAATCTGTCTCCTCACCACGTGCTCTCACCACTGGTGTCCCCCAGGGCTCAGTTCTAGGCCCTCTCCTATTCTCGCTATACACCAAGTCACTTGGCTCTGTCATATCCTCACATGGCCTCTCCTATCATTGCTACGCAGACGACACACAACTAATCTTCTCCTTTACCCCTTCTGATAACCAGGTGGCGAATCGCATCTCTGCATGTTTGGCAGACATATCAGTGTGAATGACGGATCACCACCTCAAGCTGAACCTCGGCAAGACGGAGCTGCTCTTCCTCCCGGGGAAGGACTGCCCATTCCATGATCTCGCCATCACGGTTGACAACTCCGTTGTGTCCTCCTCCCAGAGTGCGAAGAGCCTTGGCGTGACCCTGGACAACACCCTGTCGTTCTCCACTAACATCAAGGCGGTGACCCGATCGTGTAGGTTCATGCTCTACAACATTCGGAGAGTACGACCCTGCCTTACACAGGAAGCGGCACAGGTCCTAATCCAGGCACTTGTCATCTCCCGTCTGGATTACTGCAACTCGCTGTTGGCTGGGCTCCCTGCCTGTGCCATTAAACACCTACAACTCATCCAGAATGCCTCAGCCCGTCTGGTGTTCAACCTTCCCAAGTTCTCTCACGTCACCCCGCTCCTCCGCACACTCCACTGGCTTCCAGTTGAAGCTTGCATCTGCTACAAGACCATGGTGCTTGCCTACGGAGCTGTGAGGGGAACGGCACCTCCGTACCTTCAGGCTCTAATCAGTCCCTACACCCAAACGAGGGCAATGCGTTCATCCGCCTCTGGCCTGCTGGCCCCCCTACCTCTGCGGAAGCACAGTTCCCGCTCAGCCCAGTCAAAACTGTTCGCTGCTCTGGCACCCCAATGGTGGAACAAGCTCCCTCACGACGCCAGGACAGCGGATTCACTCACCACCTTCCGGAGACACTTCAAACCCCACCTCTTTAAGGAATACCTGGGATAGGATAAAGTAATCCTTCTACCCCCCCCCCCCCCCCCCCCCCAAAAAAAAAAAAGTGGTTATCCCACTGGCTATAAGGTGAATGCACCAATTTGTAAGTCGTATACAGCTATTCCTGTCTTATGTCAATGGTACTATCATCCAGCTTCACACATGCAAAATGTGTTGAGTCACTATGAATGGATAAATAATATTGTATAGCTTAATGGCCTCTGGATGACTCATTCTTTGTTTGTAGCTGCCTGTAGTATGTGTTTGTATAGTGTAGCCTATCAGCAGTAAAGTTTCCGTTCAGTTAGGCAGTGTGATTGGGTCAGGTATTCCATCCATCTGTTATTCTCTTGATGTCTGGCAGGTGGAAGGTATTACAGAATGGAAGCTCAGGCTGATAGTGAGGAATGGGAGCAAGGTTGGAAGGAGGGAGAGATTGGGTTTCACCAGTACCCCGTGCACAAGTAAATACATTATTGTATACTACTGAATCTCTCAAGGAGTTCTCAAGGAATTACAGACTGTGATTTTAAAAGATGTCAAATTAGGGAGATGCCTTTCCCTTCCTTTTTCAGTGGTACAACATTGCTCATTTTTCTTATTTAGGGCGTTCGTAAATTCAGAGCATTTTCAGATTGTCCGTTTGTAAATTCAGAGCGTTTCGTCTCTCGGAGCGTTCAGAGCGCACACTGGACGCTCTAGCCGAGGAGTAGGGTTGTTCCGAGCATTCTGCCCTCACAACGGCAGTCAAGCACCCAAGCTAACTGGCTAAAGCTGGCTAGCTTGCTATCTAATTCCAGACAAATGAGAGAACACCTCACTCTGACCATTTTACTTGCCCTAGCAGAGCTGGTTAGGCTGTATGTTTTTTTTTGCCGACGTTTACTGACACCGGTCATATTCAACTGGTGTTGCGCATTCGTAAATCCATCAGTTATTCTGCGCTCTGGCACACTCAGACGAGAGTGCTCTGAAATCGGAGTAGATAGCCAGAGTTAATTTACGAATATGAAATGGTAGGTGGGTGAAATTCAACAAGGAAACATAATATTACACTTCTATTACCGTATATAAAAAAAACTTTTATTTTTTTATTTAGCAAACACTTGTACATGACTGAATTCTCTTCTCCTACATGTTGATACATAGGCTTGCAGACATGGGACACTTAGTTGTTGGATATAGCTGAGATGGGTATCAGGCAGTTCTTTGAAGATCAGAAGTTGACCTACAGTGAAGAAGGGGTCCCAGCTATACCTAGTACCAAGGTTTACAAGATATGAGGAAGATGATGCTCTTCAGTTGACATCATGAGGACCAATCTATTTTGAGTCTCCTTCCATGTAATCACTTCATATTGATTATTCCTTCACTGAAAATGTGCCTTTTTTTCACAGAGCTCAGATGGAAATATATCCTTGTACCAGTGTGACCTTTTCAAATTCTCTAGGTAAAGATCATTTGAACAGTAACCCATTTCCCCACATTTCTAATGTTAAAGAGTAGCATTAAAGTTTTCTCAAACGATGAATGTTTGTTTTTTAACAGTGCAATTTAGGGTCAGTTTGGAGGGATTTTGGACAGAGGCTCCTTGGTCGCCATCAACCCATGAGACAGAGAATATGTGTGGTCCTCTGTAGCTCAGCTGGTAGAGCACGGCGCTTGTAACGCCAAGGTAGTGGGTTCGATCCCCGGGACCACCCGTACACAAAAATGTATGCACGCACGACTGTAAGTCGCTTTGGATAAAAGCGTCTGCTAAATGGCATATTAAAGAGAAAAGTATGACCACATGAACTGGACTTCTGTTTGAGATTCAACAAAAAGCATAGATTGTTTTGACACATAATAAGTTCTGTCTGTTGTTCACTGTATGCAACAGGTATGCAACACTGATCATGTTGTTAATGGACAAGGACTGCCGATACCTCTTGGACACTTTTTTATACAATCCTGAATTGTTCAAAGGTACGATATTCCCTGAAATAACAGCTGAAATTCTATTTGTCTTCCATTTGTTCTAGATGCATGCGAGTAACATATTGTTTCAAACATACAGTATAGTATGCATGTATGTAATTAACCTTCCATGATCATTCTTTAACACCTCTCTATAGGTTCTCCATTTGATGTGCCTGATGAGGAGGTAAACAGACTTTTCAGTGAGTTTTATTAACATTTACATAATTTAGCAGACGCTCTTATCCAGAGCGACTTACAAATTGGTGCATTCAATTTAATTTGTCATTGATAATACCTTTATTACTATTACTGCCTTTTTTAAATCTGTCATTGAACTGTATTTGATATTTCACATAAAAACCAATTGAATGGAATATAAGAAGATGTTGTACGAGAGAATCGTGGTAAGATAGTTTTATGGTATTTTCTTTTATATGTATTCCAGGGAGTTGTGCTATTAAGTTTATACAGTCTTCAGATGCTCTCCCAGACGTGAAGGATAAGGAATGGGGCTTGGACGTCTTCATAGAGAGAGTTTATCTCACCCCAAAGGCCTCATAAACATGATTTCATGGGCTTCTCTGAGACTACAGGAAGATATATCTGAAAGAAATAGTGCATTGAAAATTATTGTCAGGATATTTGGTGTTCTGTGAATGTTAAATATTGTTATTAGCTTTGTTGACAGTTTGGAAATGACCTAATGTCGAAATATGCCAAGTCAATTCTTTCATATGGGAAATTAACTGAATTTACAGTGATTTTGAAATGTCTGGCATTTTAATAAAACATTTTTATACCAGTGTGCCTTTGCTTTTTATTGTTTGTTTATATAATTTTTGTATCATAGATATTTTGTCCTATTGAAAACATGTCTCTATATTGAAAGCAAGGAACTTTGAGATACTTTAGATACATTAGATACATTAGTTACTCCATAGCAATTGTTTTAATGATTCTGACCTGTCTTGAAATGCATAGGCTACCTCATTGCAAACTACTGCATTGGATTCTGCGCTTCTCGCTTTTCACGACCCGATTGGCTGTTGCCTAGATACTAGGCCTACATTTTTAGTAAACACATCGAGGGTATCAGGGACGAAGATAAGCGTAATTTTATAAAGGAGACAAATGCCGAAGCCACAAAAGGAAACGGTAAGTTTGTTAAATGAGACAAGGTTGGCACAATGTTGCCATTTAGTTTTTGCGAATGTTACAATGTAGCAATTGAAGGACGTGCTACAAAAAGAACAAACAGACACACATGAAGCAGCTGCCTGAGAGGGCTCGAGTGCATCATTTTAACAAGTGTGCACCTGTTGCTGCAATAATGATGCTCGATCGTGAACGGGTCAATGATTCATTTTAAAGTAATGACAATGGTTATTTAATATGACAGATCAGCATACCTCCACCTGGGCGATGGAACTGGAATGATGAAACCCAAGCCCTTGAGTTTACCAGGTAATGGGAAGCTATAGCAGTAGCAAATGTTACAATATTTTCTGGACCTATATTTGTGCAAATGTTTCTGCACTATTATTTGGGGGTGTAAACGAATGTATTTGATTATTATCTAATTAACTTACCAATGAGTATGCAAATGTTGATAAGTATTTAACTATTTCTCTTCCTTTTATTTTCAGTTTTAATACATCTGTGGAGGTCAAAGAAAAGAGAAAAAAGAGTAAACCTGTCAATTTTCAAGATCTTGCCATCAAGCATCCAGAGAGGTAGCTATTGAGCCTAAGCCAACAGCACTTTTCCTATCCATACTATTCAACTCATTTTTAGGTTACTGGTTGATCAATGATGTTAATAGATAGAGCATTCATTATATTACAAGTGATATTCTTCCTTGATTGACACATAATTAAGTGCATTACTGTGTTCTGAACTCTTTCAACAAATACTTTTCTGCCTATTATTGTAGGCAAACGCAGTCATCGGTCAAGAGGGGGGGACAAAGCAGCAGGAAGACTGTGGGTCCTGCTCAACTCAATGCCTACAAGTCCTCATTAAAACGGGGTCAGAGGGACTATGTGACCATTGAGGATGTGAAACGTAGGTGTTGGTCGGTCAAACACAATACGGATCTCTGTTATAGAACACATCCTATATAGCAGATTAGTTGAATATATAGTATTTCTCTGTATTTCTGTATTTATGTACCTTCAGAAAGTATTCATAGCTCTTGACTTACTCCACATTTTTTTTCTCACCCACCTACACACAGTACTCCATAATGACAAGGAATTTAGAAATGTTTGCACATTTATTGAAAATGAAATACAGAAATATCTCATTTACATTCACACCCCTGAGTCAATACATGTTAGAATCATCTGTGGCAGCGATTACATCTGTGAGTCTTTCTGGGTAAGTCTCTAACAGCTTTGCACACCTGGATTTGCACACAATATTTGCACATTATAATTTTTTACAATTCTTCAAGCTCTGTCAAGTTGGTTGTTGATCATTGCTAGACAACCATTTTCAAGTCTTGCCATAGATTTTAAAGTCGATTTAAGTCAAAACTGTAACTAGGCCACTCAGAAACATTCAATGTCGTCTTGTGTATATTTGGCTTTGTGTTTTTGGTTATTGTCCTGCTGAAAGGTGAATTTGTCTCCCAGTGTCTGCTGGAAAGCAGACTGAACCAGGTTTTCCTCTAGGATCTTGCCGTCAGAAAGTATTCACACCCCTTGACTTTTTCCACATTTTGTTGTGTTACAGCCTGAATTTAAAATGGATTGAATTGAGATATTTTTTGCCACTGGTTTACACATAATACCCCATAATGTCAAAGTGGAATTATGTTTTTTTTTTTTTTTTTTTTTTTTTTACATATTAATTAAAAATGAAAAGCTGAAATGTCTTGAGTCAATAAGTATTCAACCCCTTTGTAATGGCAAGCCTAAATAAGTTAAGGAGTAAAAATGTGCTTTACAAGTCACATAATAAGCTGCATTGACTCTGTGTGCAATAATAGTGTTGAACATGATTTTTGAATGACTACCTCATCTCTGTACCACACACATATAATTATCTGTAAGGTCCCCCAGTCAAGCAGTGAATTTCAAATACAGATTCAACCACGAAGACCAGGGAGGTTTTCCAATGCCTCGCAAAGAAGGGCATCTATTGGTAGATGGGTACAAATAAAAAAAAGCAGACTTTGAGCATGGTGAAGTTATTAATTACACTTTGGATGTTGTATTAATACACCCAGTCACTACAAAGATACAGGCGTCCTTCCTAACTCCGTTGCCGGAGAGGAAGGAAACCGCTCAGGGATTTCACCATGAGGCCAATGGTGACTTTAAAACAGTTTCAGAGTTGAATGGCTGTGATAGGAGAAAACTGAGGATGGATCAACAACATTGTAGTTACTCCACAATACTAAACTAATTGACAGAGTGAAAAGAGGGAAGCTTGTACAGAATAAATATTCCAAACATGTATCCTTTTTGCAACAAGGCACTAAAGTAATACTGCAAAAAATGTGGCAAAGCAATTAACTTTTTGTCCTGAATACAAAGTGGTATGTTTGGGGCAAATCCATTACAACAAATTACTGACTACCACTCTCCATATTTTCAAGCATAGTGTTGGCTGCATCCTGTTAGGAATTCACCTTTGAGCAAGACAATAACCTAAAACATAAAGCCAAATCTACAACTGTAATTACTGCCAAAGATGCTTCTATAAAGTATTGACTCCAGGGTGTGAATACTGTGAAATAGTTATTTCTGTATTTCATTTTCAATACATTTGCAGACATTTCTAAAATTCTGTTTTCACTTAGTCATTATGGAATAAGTCAAGGGGTATGAATACTTTCTGAAGGCACTGTATGTCTGTGTTGCAGAGGTGGCACTCAGTTTGCTGCAGGAGAACGATGCACTCCCCATTCCACTTTGCTTCCTGTCTGTGTTGAAGTAAGGAAGCACCCACTGCACAGTATGTCTGCCTTCTCTCTCTTGTCTGTCTGTCTGTCTGTCTGTCTGTCTGTCTGTCTGTCTGTCTGTCTGTCTGTCTGTCTGTCTGTCTGTCTGTCTGTCTGTCTGTCTGTCTGTCTGTCTGTCTGTCTGTCTGTCTGTCTGTCTGTCTGTCTGTCTGTCTCTCTCTCTCTCTCTCTCTCTCTCTCTCTCTCTCTCTCTCTCTCTCTCTCTCTCTCTCTCTCTCTCTCTCTCTCTCTCTCTCTCTCTCTCTCTCTCTCTCTCTCTCTCTCTCTCTCTCTCTCTCTCTCTCTCTCTCGCTCTCTCTCTCGCTCTTTATGATTGCTCTTAGACATTGCCCTGTGTGTGTGTTTAGGAGCAGAGAGCTGGATGAGTTCCTGGCTGCCCTCCTGCTCTACCTGTCCTGTTACTTTGAGAGGAAGTATCTGGAGAAGAAGCCCAAGCCCCTCATGGCGTCAGTACCATACTCATTGTGCCGTGTGTTTGTGTGTATGTGTGTGTGTTTACATTAATTACCATTTTATATAGACTTAAGACTCTTAATTCTTATAAATTGATGTTGCTCATGACTTTGTCTCTCTATAATGTATTGATTTGTGTCAGTGAGCAGAGTATCACAGAGAAGCAGGTGATGGCGGAGACCCTTGCTAAAGTGGAGCTGGCCCAGAAGCAGCTGGCCTTCTGCTACTCCAGCCTGGTCCTGGGCCTGGGCTTGTCCCAGCAGCACCACATGGCCTGTGGCAGGTCAGTCACCTCACCGCCATTTTGGCTCTGCAGGGCAAGGAGGGGAAGTGACAAGTGTCAAGGGAATAGATATTAAGCAGATGCTTAGATCCAATGCGATTGACAGTTGAAGCCTATATTCAGAATAATCTACATAGATTATACACAACATCTAATACATCCAGAAATTGTGAGTAGTGGCCAAACCTTCTCCATGCACAAAACATTTCACTTACTGCGTTAAACTATCACTTTAAGTGCTTTATTTCTACAGGAGCCGTGTGTCATTGACCTACAAAGACAGGCAATTGTATGAGGTTAGTACCAAACACCACAGAGCGGTGATTTGACATTTGCGAATGTATATTCCAGAGGAGATGTTGACTCAACCGAGGCTACTGCTTTGACAGGCAGTACTGTTTAACCAGAGGTTTTGGTATAGTGTATCAGGGTTATTATAGGGTTACTCAGCACCCTGTGTGTCTGCATCTAGTACCAGAATAGCTCTTATGACCTTTGTAAATGTATTTTTGAAAAAATTATGATGATGTGACACAGACCCAGACCCAGTTTTACTAGCACCTTAAATTAATTACTGGCTGGTTTGCTGCGTGGCTGACTGGCTGAATGGCTGGATGAATAAATGAATGAATAAACAAATGAATTAATGAACAGGCCTAAACATTATTATTATTACCTCCAGAGCATGGAGCCATCAGCATTAGATATAAACAAACAAACTACATCAATGCAACTGTAGTATCTCATCTCTGTAATCTGTCCTGTCTACACCAGTGTCTGTACAGCTTCTTCTGCTACGTGGCGTGGGTGACGTTCAGTAGGAAGGACCTGAAGGGCATCCAGGAGGAGGTGGGGCGCCTGCTGCGTTCGGACACCTTCAACCCCTCCCTCAGGACCAGGGTAGAGGCCACAGAGGACACCCTGGCCCAGGACTCCTCCACCAAAGAGGGACAGACTGAGCCCAAAGAGCACACACAGAGCCACAACGCCTCAGAGCAAAGGTGTGTGGGGAGTGGGGGAGGGCTCGGGTGGTGTGTGTGTGTGGCTATCTATCAGCTCCCATTTTGAGTCGTTTAAAAAAATGTTTTTATGGACAATAGTTTCTACTAGCCTAAGTGACTGACTGACATGATATGTTGCAGTAAAGAACCAAATGGTTGGGTCTCCTGAGTGGCACAGCGTTCTAAGGCACTGCATCGCAGTGCTAGAGGCATCACTACAGACCCGGGTTCGATCCCGGGCTGTATCACAACCGGCCATGATCGGGAGTCTCATAGGGCGGTGCACAATTGGCCCAGCGTCGTCCGAGTTAGGGGAGGGTTTGGCCGGGGGGCTTTACTTGGCTCATCGCGCTCTAGCGACTTCTTGTGGCGGGCCGGGCGCCTGCAGGCTGACCTCGGTCATCAGGTGAACAGTGTTTCCTCCGAGACATTGGTGCGGCTGGCTTCCGGGTTAAGTGGGCGGGTGTTAAGAAGCGCGGTTTGGTTGGTCATGTTTCGGAGGACGCATGACTCAACCTTCGCCTCCCGAGCCCGTTGGGGAGTTGCAATGATGAGACAAGATCAAAATTGGGGAGAAAAAGGGGGTAGAATACACAAAATAAAAAATTAATGTAACCAAATGGTTTAGGCTAGAAAACCATCTCTGCTTCAATGATCTCTATCTACCTCCCAGACTATAGGATTGACTGAGACATATTCATGACTTGTCAGATAAGAGTGACAGGACGTTTTATGTCAGCTCCCAACATCTGACAGATGACTGACAGTTCTGTAAGCGGTTTCAGGTCTATTGCTCTTATGCTGTCAGGGCCATGCCAAGTTGGTCTTGAAGTCTGCACTCCATAAGTAGAACCAAATTAATTATATGTGGGGAGTTTCTCTTGTTGATATCTTCACAGCTGTTGTCTACATATTTGATGATAAATAATACAGCTGTATATATTTTATAATATTTGGTATTAGAATGACATGCTCTGTTATTTTAATTTCATTTATTTTCCTGCCGGCTTAAGGAAATTCTACCGTAAGACTTTTGAGATTTTGTCCTCCCACTGTAGGATTGCCCCCACTGACCCCTCACTCTTATGCCCAAATCTAAATCAATATATATCTAGTGCCAAGGCCCTAGGGAATAGGCGGCAGTTTGGAATTGGTCCTCATTCTTCTGCTTCTCGTCCTCTGACCTTTGACCCCAGGAAGTCCCAGCGTCGTCCGGCACTGAGTAAGATCGTGACCCAGCGCTCCCCGGTCATGGTGTCCCTGCTGCCATATCCGCGGGAGGAGGCTCCTCAGCTGTTCCGCCGCTACAGACCCAGGAAGCATAGCCAGGCCAAGCTGTGTAACCCAGAGACCCTGATGGAGGAGCTCAAAGAGCAGCTGGCCTCTGTCAGGTAGCTAACAGTCACAGCACAGGGAGGGAATAGCCCCTTCCCAGATCTGTATGTGCTGTCTTGCCAACTCCTATGGTCATTGTCACGCCAACTGTTGGCAAGGTCTGGGACCAGGCTAGGGAAGGAATTTGTTTTCTATATACATTTTACATTTACATTTTAGTCATTTAGCAGACACTCTTATCCAGAGCGACTTACAGTTAGTGCATTCTTAAAATAGCTATTATTTAAGATAAGGTAAGATAAGATATTGAAGATCTTTGAAGAGGTATGGTTTAAGGTGCTTTCGGAAGATGGGCAGGGACTGTCCTAGCTTTAGGGGGAAGGTGTCCAGAAGGGGGATGACAAGTGCCTGGATTAGGACCTGCAACTCTTCCTGTGTGAGGTAGGGTCGTACTCTACAGATGTTATAGAGCATGAACTTGCAGGAGCGAGTCACTGCTTTGATATTTGCAGAGAACGACAGGGTGTTGTCCAGGGTCACGCCAAGGTTATTTGCATTCTGGGAGGGCGACACTGTGGAGTTGTCAACCGTGATGGAGAGGTCTTTGAGCGGGCAGGCCTTCCCCGGGAGGAAGAGCAGCTCCGTCTTGTCGAGGTTGAGCTTGAGGTGGTGTGCCGACATCCAAGCTGAGATATCTGCCAGGCACGCAGAGATGCGTGTCGCCACCTGGGTGTCAGAAGGGGGGAAGGAGAAAGGTAGTTTAGTGTCATCTGCATAGCAATGATTGGAGAGACCATGTGAGATATGACGTAGCCGAGTGACTTGGTGTTTAGAGAGAAGAGGAGGGGGCCAAGAACTGAGGAGGATTAAGGAGGGAGGAGAAGGTGGAAAAGAGTTTCATAGGGTTAGAAGCAGAAGCTTGACAGTTTGAGTGATAGAACGTGTATCAGAAGGTTGAATGAAAAGAACAAACTAGATGTGTAAGAGACTGATAATATACACTACAAACATTCTATTGCACTTGCATTGTCCCTCAAAAATAGATGAATATCTCTTGTACATGAAGTTAACGTTCACAGCACTGTATTTCCACACCCCTGAACTTATGTCTGCTACACTCTTAGAAAAAAGGGTAAGCAAAAAAAGGGTTATTTGGCTGTCCCCATAGGGAAACCCTTTTTGATTCCAGGTAGAACCCTTTTTGGTTCCAGGTAGAACTCTTTTGGATTCCATGTAGAACCATGTGTGTAAAGGGTTCTACATGGAACTCAAGAGGGTTCTACCTGGAACCAAAAGGGTTCTACCTGAAACCAAAAAGGGTTCTTCAAAGGGTTCTCCTATGGGGACAGCCGAAGAACCCTTTTAGATTCTAGATAGCACCTTATTTTCTAAGAGTGTATGTTTGAACTTTGAAATCTGTTTTTCTAGCTTTGGGATTCTGGGGAAGCCTCTGAGCCAGTTCAGCTGCACCACCCTTATGCCCCAGGGAGCCAACAACGAAGACGAGGAGGAGGAAGATGATGACGATGATGATGAAGACCTTGGCATCCATGTTCGAAGCAGTATGAACACCTTCATGGCTCAGAGACCTGGCGCATCAGCACTGGACCAACGCGGCAGCCTCAGCCGCACCAATACAGTCACCTCACGGGCCACCACAGAGGGAGTGTCCTCAGACACAGAGTGAGAGTATGTCTGCCAGGCTTCCCCCAAAATTTGACCAATAAGAAAACAAAAACATATAAAATAATTGATCTTTAGTCTCTCTGTGTTTCATAATTGTCCTTCAATTGCATGTGGCTGAATGTATCTCACCAGAGAAAGCATCCGATCGAGCGAAACAGCGCCCCTCTGTCTCAGTATGTGTAGCCCATCTATCTGATGCTGTCTGGCCAAAAAGAGTATGCCATTGTTGCCACCCGTAGCATTGAATTTAATAGCAAGGGAAGCCAGCAAGCATTTGGCCTCCCTTGATAATGTTTAAATACAAGAATAACCAATCAGCATTGAGCTCAACTGTGAATGGTCCTGGCGCACCAAAAAAAGTGTCAAGGGAAGCTAGATTGGGTTTGGCTTCACACCAATCACATTGCATCAAAAGCATTGTGTCGTTGTCCTCCGGTGGCTAGCTAAAATCGGCCCTTTTATAAATTAGCAATGGATGGAGATAGGGATTTGGACTTGTGGACTTGGTGTACCACCCAATGATTATAACGGTGATTCTGATCCAACCATAAATTCATACATTGTGCCCTTGGCCTGAGAGGCTGGAAGTTCAATATGTAGCTAGATGTAGTAGGCTAACGTTAACTAACTGGCTCATCATTGCCCTTGAAATTAAGTTAGGCTAGCTGGCAAACCTTTTAGCCAGGTAGCCTAGTCTAGGACAACAAAAACTAAAAATGTGTAGGCTACTGTGTGACAGAGAGGAGGATTGCATTGGCGTTCCTCTACAAGTAAGGTGAATCATTATGTTATTTCTACTTGCACACACACACACACACACACACACACACACACACACACACACACACACACAATCAGTCCCATGGACAGCCACATGTTATTTAGCTTATGTTGATTGGATTAAATTGTTTTTGGCATCTTTAAGTTGCTACTCTATTAGACTAAGCATTGGTGATTTGATGATATTGAAGTTGAAATGGTGGTGGAATTACGTTAGCAGAGGCCTCTCCTGTTTTTTTTGTGATAACTGTGGTTCTAAATCAATAATTGTTTAGTAGTTAGACATTTTTGGAAACATTAACTTGCTTGACCATGCTGTATGTCCCCCCCCCCCCACCTTGCAAGCAAAACATCAAGTTTTAAAGTTAATTTCCTGCAGTTCTACACATTTTACCATGGGGCGTAGAGAAAATGTTGCAGTTTTAAAGCAAGTTTGCTGCAATTCAACACATCTTGCCATGGGTCAAATTTCATGCAATTCTTTTAATTTTCCATGGGGTGTAGAGAAGAATTTGCAGTTTACATCACATTTTCTGAAATTCTACACATTTTGCCATAGGTTGGAGAGTAATGTTTGCAGTTTTTAAAATGTCATATTTTTTGTGAAAATGACTAATTAAATCAGTGGGGGCCCCCCAGTTGGTAATGCTTTCTACAGGTTTAGAAAGCTGGACATTAGACTAACAAAAAATGTTTGTTACATGCAATATGCACCGGACAGATATGGCTCTCTGGTTTTGTGATGAAACAAACATGTGGTTGAATTTATTCTGTCCAGTGGTGTAAAGTACTTATCTGTCCGGTGAAGTCCACAAAGCATATTGCATGTAACAAACAGTTATATGACCTACAGCAGGGATGGGCAACTGGCGGCCCGCGGATCAATAAATACAGTGGGGAAAAAAAGTATTTAGTCAGCCACCAATTGTGCAAGTTCTCCCACTTAAAAAGATGAGAGAGGCCTGTAATTTTCATCATAGGTACACGTCAACTATGACAGACAAATTGAGAAAAAAAATCCAGAAAATCACATTGTAGGATTTTTAATGAATTTATTTGTAAATTATGGTGGAAAATAAGTATTTGGTCACCTACAAACAAGCAAGATTTCTGGCTCTCACAGACCTGTAACTTCTTCTTTAAGAGGCTCCTCTGTCCTCCACCCGTTACCTGTATTAATGGCACCTGTTTGAACTTGTTATCAGTATAAAAGACACCTGTCCACAACTTCAAACAGTCACACTCCAAACTCCACTATGGCCAAGACCAAAGAGCTGTCAAAGGACACCAGAAACAAAATTGTAGACCTGCACCAGGCTGGGAAGACTGAATCTGCAATAGGTAAGCAGCTTGGTTTGAAGAAATCAACTGTGGGAGCAATTATTAGGAAATGGAAGACATACAAGACCACTGATAATCTCCCTCGATCCGGGGCTCCACGCAAGATCTCACCCCGTGGGGTCAAAATGATAACAAGAACGGTGAGCAAAAATCCCAGAACCACACGGGGGGACCTAGTGAATGACCTGCAGAGAGCTGGGACCAAAGTAACAAAGCCTACCATCAGTAACACACTACGCCGCCAGGGACTCAAATCCTGCAGTGCCAGACGTGTCCCCCTGCTTAAGCCAGTACATGTCCAGGCCCGTCTGAGGTTTGCTAGAGTGCATTTGGATGATCCAGAAGAGGATTGGGAGAATGTAATATGGTCAGATGAAACCAAAATATAACTTTTTGGTAAAAACTCAACTCGTCGTGTTTGGAGGACAAAGAATGCTGAGTTGCATCCAAAGAACACCATACCTACTGTGAAGCATGGGGGTGGAAACATCATGCTTTGGGGCTGTTTTTCTGCAAAGTGACCAGGACGACTGATCCGTGTAAAGGAAAGAATGAATGGGGCCATGTATCGTGAGATTTTGAGTGAAAACCTCCTTCCATCAGCAAGGGCATTGAAGATGAAACGTGGCTGGGTCTTTCAGCATGACAATGATCCTAAACACACCGCCCGGGCAACGAAGGAGTGGCTTCGTAAGAAGCATTTCAAGGTCCTGGAGTGGCCTAGCCAGTCTCCAGATCTCAACCCCATAGAAAATCTTTGGAGGGAGTTGAAAGTCCGTGTTGCCCAGCGACAGCCCCAAAACATCACTGCTCTAGAGTAGATCTGCATGGAGGAATGGGCCAAAATACCAGCAACAGTGTGTGAAAACCTTGTGAAGACTTACAGAAAACGTTTGACCTGTGTCATTGCCAACAAAGGGTATATAACAAAGTATTGAGAAACTTTTGTTACTGACCAAATACTTATTTTCCACCATAATTTGCAAATAAATTCATAAAAAATCCTAAAATGTGATTTTCTGGAGAGAAAAAAATCTCATTTTGTCTGTCATAGTTGACGTGTACCTATGATGAAAATTACAGGTCTCTTTCATCTTTTTAAGTGGTAGAACTTGCACAATTGGTGGCTGACTAAATACTTTTTTCCCCACTGTAAAGTACAGTGAGGGAAAAAAGTATTTGATCCCCTGCTGATTTTGTACGTTTGCCCACTGAAAAAGAAATGATCAGTCTATAATTTTAATGGTAGGTTTATTTGAACAGTGAGAGACAGAATAACAACAAAAAAATCCAGAAAAACGCATGTCAAAAATTTTATAAATTGATTTGCATTTTCATGAGGGAAATAAGTATTTGACCCCTCTGCAAAACAAGACTTAGTACTTGGTGGCAAAACCCTTGTTGGCAATCACAGAGGTCAGACGTTTCTTGTAGTTGGCCACCAGGTTTGCACACATCTCAGGAGGGATTTTGTTCCACTCCTCTTTGCAGATCTTCTCCAAGTCATTAAGGTTTTGAGGCTGACGTTTGGCAACTCTAACCTTCAGCTCCCTCCACAGATTTTCTATGGGATTAAGGTCTGGAGACTGGCTAGGCCACTCCAGGACCTTAATGTGCTTCTTCTTGAGCCACTCCTTTGTTGCCTTGGCCGTGTGTTTTGGGTCATTGTCATGCTGGAATACCCATCCACGACCCATTTTCAATGCCCTGGCTGAGGGAAGGAGGTTCTCACCGAAGATTTGACGGTACATGGCCCCGTCCATCGTCCCTTTGATGCGGTGAAGTTGTCCTGTCCCCTTAGCAGAAAAACACCCCCAAAACAAAATGTTTCCACCTCCATGTTTGACGGTGGGGATGGTGTTCTTCGGGTCATAGGCAGCATTCCTCCTCCTCCATACACGGTGAGTTGAGTTGATGCCAAAGAGCTCGATTTTGGCCTCATCTGACCACAACACTTTCACCCAGTTCTCTGAATCATTCAGATGTTCATTGGCAAACTTCAGACGGACCTGTATATGTGCTTTCTTGAGCAGGGGGACCTTGCGGGCGCTGCAGGATTTCAGTCCTTCACGGCGTAGTGTGTTACCAATTGTTTTCTTTGTGACTATGGTCCCAGCTGCCTTGAGATCATTGACAAGATCCTCCTGTGTAGTTCTGGGCTGATTCCTCACCGTGATCATGATCATTGCAACTCCACGAGGTGAGATCTTGCATGGAGCCCCAGGCCGAGGGAGATTGACAGTTATTTTGTGTTTCTTCCATTTGCGAATAATCGCACCAACTGTTGTCACCTTCTCACCAAGCTGCTTGGCGATGGTCTTGTAGCCCATTCCAGCCTTGTGTAGGTCTACAATCTTGTCCCTGAGATCCTTGGAGAGCTCTTTGGTCTTGGCCATGGTGGAGAGTTTGGAATCTGATTGATTGATTGCTTCTGTGGACAGGTGTCTTTTATACAGGTAACAAACTGAGATTAGGAGCACTCCCTTTAAGAGTGTGCTCCTAATTTCAGCTCGTTACCTGTATAAAAGACACCTGGGAGCCAGAAATCTTTCTGATTGAGAGGGGGTCAAATACTTATTTCCCTCATTAAAATGCAAATCAATTTATAACATTTTTGAAATGCGTTTTTCTGGATTTCTTTCTTGTTATTCTGTCTCTCACTGTTCAAATAAACCTACCATTCAAATTATAGACTGATCATTTCTTTGTCAGTGGGCAAACGTACAAAATCAGCAGGGGATCAAATACTTTTTTCCCTCACTGTACTACTTAAGTAATTTTTTGGGGTATCTGCACTGTACCATTTATATTTTTGACAACTTTTACTTTTAC